AGGCTCCGGACGCGCAGGCTCAGTGGCCATGGCTCATGGACCCAGCCGCTCCGCGGCATGTGGGATCTTCCTAGACCGGGGCATGAACCCGTGTCCCCTGCATCGGCAGGCGGACTCTCAACCACTGCGTCACCAGGGAAGCCCCAAGACAAATATATTTTAACTGATGCCTAAGAATAAGTTTTATTTTTAGTATCATGAAGTTTACTTACAACCTCATGGGAGCAAAGTCATTGACGCCTTCTACCTAGATCAAAGGTATCTTTTTAATTAAACGTTTTATTGAAGTATAGCCAACATTTAAAAATTTGTGCAAATTCTAGATGTACAGTTTGATGAATCATGATAATGGGAACACACCCATGCAACCACCCAGGTTGGACCTAGAAAAATGGGGAAAATTTGGATAAGTAGAAGGTAAAGGGCCAGCCAGGCATGGTAGGTAAAATGAACAACGTTAAGTCTAAGTCCCAAGGTAGGACCTTATGAGGTACACTAGGGAGGCTATAAGAGTGCAGACTTGACAAACATGGATAATTAGGATAAAGAAAGAAAGCGCATTCAGATTCATTCATTATGTGCATTTTAATAGACTTGTCCTGCTGATGCACCCTTTTGTCTGGACCCAACCATATCTATTCCTATTAGGAATATAAAGAGGAGGAATCCAAGAAGTACCAAATCTAAGGTCAACAGCAACTTAGAAAAACGCTGGTTAGTAAGCACACCTATATTTTCTTGTTCTGCCAGGTAAGAGGGACTAAAAGCTGTGACACTCCAGTAGCGATGAGCACACAGTGATTTCTAATACCATTCTCTAATTCAAAAAGCCAGGGTTTATCCAGAGCTGATTCTACGGCTGGGGCAGGAAATATACAAGATGAGCCTGGAGCATCTTGTAGTGCCAGAAATAAGGGAGTTCTTGGGAAGGAAAAACCCCACAGTGATGGGGGTATCTCAAAAGGACTGAGGAGCCAACTGAAAGAGCCCCCATGGCCAAGCTGGAACAACTTGAACAACAACATAAAGTAATGTTGGATCATAATCCACAGTGTAGAATAAATATCCATGAGTCCATATTCATATTAAAATAATTAAATAAATTAATAAGTAGAGAAGAAGAGACAAATCCTCCATACAGAAGAATTCTAAATAAGGTTGGTAGGTATTTCACCCTCAAGGATGTGGATTATAACTTCCCATCTCTTAAGTGTGGGCTGCAGATACTGACTTCCTTCCAAAGAGCACAGTAGGAAAAGGGAGAATAAGCATTTTTCTCTGTGGTAGAGAAAACTGACAAACACTACCTCAGCCAGGTGGTGAAGGTCGGCACCAGTAGTCATAAATCATATTGATAGTATGCACCCTTGATATGATGTGATTAGAACCCCCAAAATACATAACCCCAGAGCAATCATGAGAAAATCATCAGACGAATTCCACTAGAAGGACACTACAAAATCCAAGTTTATCAAAAACAAGGAACGTCTGAGAAACTGTCACAGACAAGAGGAGCCTGAGTAGACATGACAACTGTATTAGTTTCCTAGGCCTGCTACAACAAACAACCACAAAATGAGTGGCTTACCAGAGCAGAGGTTTCTTCTCTCACAGTTTTGGAGTCAAGAGGTCTGAAATCAAGGTGTTGTCAGGGCCATGTTCCCTCTGAAGCCTCTAGGGGAGGATCCTCCCTTACCTCTTCCAGCTTCCGGTAGTCCCAGGCATTCCTTGGGTTGTAGATGCTCCACCCCAATCGCTGCCCCCATCGTCACACGACTATCTTCTCCCTGTGTGTCTTCTCCTCTTCTTATAAGGACACCAGTCATGTTGGATTAGGGGCCCCCCTACTCCAGTATGACTTCATCTTAACACCTTACAGCAGCACCAACCCCATTCCCAAATAAGGTCACCTTCACAGGTACCAGGGATTAGGACTTAGTATCTCCTTTTGTGTGGTACAATTCAACCCAGAAACAATCCTCACAACAACTGTCGTTCCCATTTTACAGATGAGGAGCCAGGGACTCAGAAAGGGAAAGCAACTTGCTCGAGAGCACCTGAGTAGCAGAGTGTCAGAGGCAGGTTTCTAACTCAGGGCTGCCTGGTTCTCAGGCTTGAGCTTCTCCACTACCTTATACAGTCTTTTTCACATTAGACATCCCTTCCTGCGTCTGCCCTCTCTGTTCATTCCCTTTAAATTACAAGGGAGCAAATTGAGGTCTAGAAAGGGGTAGTGATTTTCCCAATGTCAAATAGAGGGGAAAAGGGCAACAAATTTTGATACTGAGACTTTGAATTGATGTATTTCAATTACAAATTCTTATTAAAAATCTTACCACTCAGCCATGTACAGGGAGAGGGAGAAAGAGTAAGAGAGAGAGAGAGAGAGAGAGAGGAAAAAAGCCTTGGGAATTGGTAGGATCTGGATCTGAGGGCCCTGTGTTTACAACAGAAGAGTTGCCTATGGCATTAGGTCTTCAATTGCTTCCACAGTTTTTCCTCCCATGATACTATCTCTGAAAACAGTGACCAGAAGAGAAAAGAACCAAAGAAAAGGAATTCTTATAACAGGTCATCTGTCTTCCATCATCTGTCAAAAAGTTGGTACATTGAGGGTTTCATGGTGTACTTAACAAGGAACCCATGCCATAGGTCCATAGACACATCCTCTGTCTTCTTAGCCTGGGAAAGTTCTGTGCATTTTTCTCTAAGAATGTCAGGGTCATCATCATTGGCACTCACCTTGTGATTGATTTTACAAAGGTCACAGCTATGATGAGAGGCTGGAAATGCAGTCACTTATCCCCCTTCCTTGCTGATGGCCATTGACAAGGCTGGTGTAAAGATGGTGTCATGTGTTGAAAACTGGTCACACAAATATATCAGGTTTTAACTACTGAGACCTGTAAATGTTATAAGGAAAAAGAATCATTGTAGGTATGACTAAAGTAAGGATTTTGACATAGGAAGATTATCCTAGATTATCAGGATGGGCTCTAAATGTGATTACAAGTACCCTTATAAAAGAGCACGGTGAGAGATCACACGTAGAGGAGAGGAAATGTGACCACAGAGGCAGAGACTGACGTAGCTACAAGTCAGAGGCAGAGATTGAAGTAGCCACAAGTCAGGGAAAGCCGGCTGCCACCAGAAGCTGGAAGAGTCAAGGAACAGATTCTCCCCAAAGCGCCGAGAGAGAGCACAGTCCTATGCCTTGTTACCAGCTCACTGATACTGATTTCAGATTTCTCATCTCCAGAACTGTGAGAGAATAAATTTCTGTTCTTTTAAGCCACTGAGTTTTGGGGAATTTGTTACAGCAGCCTCAGGAAACTAATACACGTGGTAAAAGATGGATTCCACTAATAAGTGAGAAAACTCACCCTCCCATGTTCCTGATCTTCTCTGGTTGGTCCAGGTCTTGTCTTGGGTTCATAGTCTGTCCTCCTGGGACCCCACCCCCACCCCCACCAGCTGCCCTAAGCAGTGACTGTCTCCTCTGTCCCAGAGACAACACTTCCTGAGCAGAGGTCTCATGGGCATCCCCTGGGGGTTTCTCATTCATTTTCAGATCTTTCTTAAGCAGGTCTCCCCTTGAGGCACCCTCACCTATGACAAATCTCTGCTTCCTGCCCCCAAGTTGTCCCACTGGTTCTACTTCTGCTCTGCCCTTGGTCATCATGCCCGAAGCACTGAGACCTCATCCCTGTTCCCACATGCTACCCTCATATTTTATCTTTGGCTCCAAGAGATGGTATATTTCTGCATTTCTGTTGTAACATTAATGTTTTCAAACTTCACAGAACTTCTTGGGCCATGGTAAGCTTTCTGGAGAAAATGTTCAATTGAGTAGGGCCACAAGGAGGATAAGTGGGACATGGATAAGAGAATCCAAGGATAGGACAAAGGAAGTGGCACAACCTGATCACTCTAGTGATGAAGAAAAAGTCCGAAAGGAGAGAAGGAGCTGCAAGGCCACCTGCCAGCAGAGTAAAGATGAGCAGCCTCAGGTTCAGTAGAGAGGTCATGGAAAGTGGCTAGGGTAGGCCTATCCTAGCAAGTGGGGTCCAGAGCTGCCCTTTGACATGGTGTCCGGTGCCGCCACACTGAAGGAGGCATTGCTGGGCTGGATGAGGCAAGGTTTGATGAGGTCTCCCCGTCCCACACCACCACCAGCTGTGGTCCCCCTGCAGTAGGTTGAGAAATAACCCTCCAAAGATGTTCAGCTCTCAGTCCTGGAACCTTTTACCTTACAGTATAGGGAACTTTGCAGATATGAGTAAGTTAAGGAGCTCTGGATGGGGAGATTATGCCCAATGTAATCACAAGGGTCATGACAAGAGAGACACAGGAGGCTCAGAGTCTGTAGCAGGAGATGCGATGACAGAAGCAAGAAGCTGGAGTGGAGTGGAATACAGATGGCTTCTAGATTTTGAAAAAGAGAAGGTAATAGATTCTCCTCTGAAGCCTCCAGAAAGAACACAGCCCTGCTAAGATCTTGGTTTTCGCTTTCTGACTTTCAGAACTGTAAAAGAATAGATGTGTGTTGTTTTAAGCCACTAAATCTGATTTAATTTGTTGCAGTGGCTGTAGGGGATGAATACACCTCCATATAGTGCAGGGAGGGTTGATGGGAGCACATGGGGGCTTTGGACATTTTCCAAAACTTCATGGGCCAAGATATGCTGCAAATGGCAACATCCGTACCTTCTGCGGTCCCCAGGCCATCTCTGGGTCGCTCACTCACTTGGTAAAATGCTTTTTATGTTGCCAACAAGGTCATCCACCTAGATGGTGAGGCCAGTGTCCACCCAGAGCCTGTTGGAACCCTCCAGGTTGACAGCATTGTGTATGTTAGCGCCAGTGGGACACAGCCATTCCACCTGTCACCAGGTCTCTTAACTAAAGCGTGACCTGCCTCACCCTGGCACTGTGGGGACAATGGGGTCTGTTCTTTCCTGACTCTCACCCAGAGAGAGGAAAGAGAGCCAGGGAAAGCAAGTTCAGGCAGACCGTGGGATGCAGGGAAGGCACTTCTCCAGGCCCAGTCAGCCTGCCAGGCCAGCACCAGCACCCTGCCAATCGTAGCTGGCATCCCAGATGCTTGCAAATCGAAAGTGAAGAGCTAGGAGACCTCTGGCTGCCAGCAGGCTCCATTTCTCCACTCTGTGTTCCATTTCCTTAATAAAAGCAATTTCAAGCTACCACCCTGCAGAGCATGAGCGTAACCGGCCGAACCCTGGCAGTACCATCCTGATTCTTTCATTTGAAGCACATGTTCATTATAGACTTTCTTTCAAATAAATCATATTACTGGCTCCCAAGAAAATATTCCTCTGGGCTCACATGGCAACCCAGAAAACAATAGCACCACAGCCTCTATGACATGCCAGGTACTCAGGCCTTACTATCAAAAGCTGGAGAGTGCCTGGAATCAGAGCAATGTTCCTACTGTGTTCCTAAAATAATGACCACCGATCTGCAGGCGCATTTTCTGCAGGGAATAGTAATTTGCATGCACCTGCCCTGCTTGAAGGGGGCTGGAACACCACGCTGTAGGACAGCAGGGGGCAGGACAGTGGCTTAGATCCTGGAAAGCTATATAAGGCAGCCTTCCCAGGCGGAGGTGAGCCAGCACCAGAACACAGAACCTTCTGATTCCAATACCAGTACTCTCTCCACCGCCCATTCTGTACCGCCACTGGTAACCTCAATCCTTTTGCTGAAGGCCCCCAAATTCCAACACGCCTCCTAAGGGTAATCTAACTCTCCAATATCTACCTAAGCTCATGTTAGCTTTTTTTTTAACCTAATTTTCTAAATTGATCTAAGGGAGCAGACAGTGATGGGTCCTTTGGCAGGCAGACCTGGGCGGGGCCTCAGTCTCTCGGCCGGCCCAGCCAGAGTTCCTTCTCTTCCACCTCCACTCTGCCTGTAACTGGGTGGGAAATTTAGGCTGAGGTCTTACATCTTCAGGGAAGGGGTGTGAAGCCTCTCTTGGATTCCTATCTTTACACTGAGAGTTGTGGCATCTGCCACTTAACGAAAAGGCACCTTGAGTTCCGTTTGGCTATTGATGCTTGTGTGTAAACCTCTTACCAGGTATTGACACTGGGAGGCCAGTGTAGTTGAGCCCAGAGCCCTTAACAAGTCCTACAGCTCAGGAAATAATGCCATAGGAGGTCATATGGTAGGCCTCGATCAGTAAGTAACTATAATTGAAGGGGAATGAAATCAATTATATATCTTGAGCCGTCCACACATAATTATTTTAAAATCATATCATGGTATTTGGGCATTACTTGAATGACTTGAAAATTGGTCTTGATAAAGCCAGTAAATGCATTTGATTTAGGATTGTGTTGTGGCCAATACTTGTAGGACATGGACAGACCTCTGTGGTAGGCAGAATAATGGCCCCCAAAGATACGCACATCCTAATTTCCAAACCTATGAGTATGTAAGGTTCCAGGGCCAAGAGGAATTAAGGTTACAGGTGGAATTAAGGTTGCTAATCAGATGACCTGAAAAGAGAGAGATCATTGCGGCTTATCTGGATAGACCCATCATAATCACAGGGGTCCTTCAGTGAAAGAGGGAGGCAGCAGAGGGAGAACCCGAGGCATGGCACCTGAGAACTTGGCCTGACATTGCTGAAGAAAGAGGGCAGGAGGAACAAGTTACGAAATGTGAGTGGCCTCTAGAAGCTGGAAAAGGCAAGGACATGTTTTCTCCCTTAGAACCTCCAGAAGGAACGTAGCCCTGCTGACACCTTGATTTTAGCCCAGGGAGACCCATTCAGATTTCTGACCTCCAGAACTATAATATCATAAATGTGTGTTGTTTTAAGCCACGGTGTTTGTGGAAATTTGTTACAGTAGCAATAGGAAACCCTCTCAACCTGAGTTTCTCAACTTCAGAGCTACTGACATTTGGGGCTGGAAAATTCTGTGTTGTGGGGCTGTCTTGTGAACTGTGGGATATTTTGTAGGATCCCTCACCTCTACCCACTAGATGTCAGTGGAAGGTCCCTCCCCAAGTTACAACAACCAAGAATGTCTTCAGACATTGCTTTGAGGGGGAAAGAAAGGGAGAAAATCACCCCTGGTTCAGTACCTCTGCTCTGAACTCACCATGGTTGTCCATTTTAATATGCACTTGCCCTCACACACATGGGATTCTAGTCACTGACCTTTCCTATGTGGATGCTTCTGGATGAGGTCTTTGATGCCAATTGAAAATTAAGTACCACACAAAATCGGCATTAGTCTCTGATGCCTCAGAGTAAGTTTCTATCATTTCAACCAAGCTGGTTTAATGGTGACAGAGAAAAAGGAATCTGAACATGCTATTAAGTAAAGAGAACTGATATCTAAATGGATGCAAGACAAACTCTGCCCACTCCATGCAATGCTCTTTATCATTTAAGCTGGGCTGCAGCATGAACATGAGTAAGATGTGATTTCTGCTCTTAGGACCTCATTGTCTCATAAGGGAGACTCATGTGCAATTAAAAAAACCCAAACTCTCAGTAGAGATTAAAAGGACTGTACACACACCATGGTCATATATTTTGAATCAAGAATCCATGGTCTGGACACAAGCTGTGAGAAAGTATAACAATAGGACCAAATATTTGAAATCAAGACTGTCTCAGAAAATGTGCCCATGCCACCTATAAGAGGCATATGCAGCAACATGGATGGACCTGGAGATTAGCATACAAAGTGAAGTAAGTCAGACAGAGAGAGACAAATATCATGTGATACTGCTTATATGTGGAATCTAAACCAAATGATACAAATTAACTGATATGCAAAACAGAAATAGACCCACAGACATAGAAAACAAACTCATGGTTACCAAAGGGGAAAGGCGGTGGGGGGAGGGAGGGATAAATTAT